GGGGGGGGGGTTATCGCTGCTCTCCCTGCTATCATCCATGCTAGGCTGCATGGATGCGCAGGGAGTTCTTGCCCAGAACGGAACCATACCGCCAATCCAGACTGTATGCTAATTGTCAATCATCTTTGACGATAGTGGTCCTGACAGAACTAAACATTATGGAATATTTGGGATTTATTTGTTGCTTGCAAAAACAAACAAACAAACAAAAAATTTCACAATACAAAGATACATTTCAATGGCTGTCAATGATGCTATTAGAATGGTGGGGATCAAAGCATCTGCAAGCAGGGCTAATGGGATCATGCTATCCAGAAAAATCTTAGAAGTAACAATCAAATACAGGTAAGTCAGGTAAGAGGAGGTGGTGCAGCAGATAGTTTAGGTGGTGCAGCCTACAAAGATGGAAATGTTTAATAGATTTCAGTTGTCAGAAGTATCTGTAATCGATAAGCCAAGAGACTGAAGGAGATCAAACTGATATAGGTTCAGAAGGCATGTTTTATCTCTTCATTCTGCCATTTTCTGTTCTGTGTCTTTATGACTAAACCTGGCAAAATGACAGAAATGCATTCAAATTTGGTTTAAGAGTATATTGTATTTTTATTTTTAAGGGCCTACTAAGAGGAGCCAAGCATTGATAAAATGTTTATTAGAATGCATTGATGCATTTGTGGTTTATTTGTTGACTGGGAAAAAATAAATAAAAAATAAAAATACACAGCTACCTTTGAATGGCTGTCAATGCAGAAAACTGCTCTTTAGAATCAGATAACTTCGTAATACTTGTGCAAGCAGACACAGTGATGCCATGGGTGAGTCTGAAATTATGGCATTCTGGTTTCATGATTCATTCGGGAAGATCAGTTTCATGGAACATCCCAGCATTAGTCTAGATATGAATAGAAAGTATATTAACATGCATCTAATTTGGCTGAGGTGGGACACATTTGCGCTGTGGAATTTTGTGCCTACACTTAAAATGAGCTACTGTAATTACTGCTAAAGGAATACTTTCTTATTATGTAACAGCTATAGCCTATAACTATCCCACTTTTGTATCTCAGGTATCAGGTGGATTAATATAACTAATATATAACTAGATGTATACAGTTCACAAAGTATACTGAATACTTCATGGGTTTCATGTTTTTTTGTTTTTTTTATAAAAAGCGTATTGCCATCCCTTAAAATAATGTTGTTTTCTCATGCAATTGGGTTGTATATTCATTTCTTTGGAAAAAAAAAAAAAAAAAAAAGTCAAACAAGGTTACAAAATCAAGTAGGATAGTCTATAAATGAACTGATGTCATTAATTTGAATATGTGTGATATTGTAAACGCCCTTTACAATAACCTCTAAAGAAGAACGAGGATGATTGACAGTAACAATACAGGCTAATGGTTTCTGTTTATATTATTCCACCTTTGCATGCTACGGAAGAATGATTATGTTTGGAATGACATCATCAAATGATGATACAGTTTTTATAACAATATCGATAGTTAAATTTAGAATTACAGCTAATAAATCCCTAAATGGGTGGTTCTTTAATGTTGTGCCACTACTGTGAAACTTTATGAAAAGTTATTCAGTACCCAGGACAGTTTCAAATAACCCTTTTAAATAACCAAATGAATCTAAACCGGTGCCATTATTTCAACTATTTTGGAAACATCTGAAAGCTAACAAAGTTATTTCGACTCACTTTAAAGGCTGGTGAGCAAAAGCGCATTATAGTAAACTTCGTTTTCACCCTCTAGGGTTAGAGAACATGACCCATGCTGAGAGGCAAAAACTATAAGATAAGATGAAATAAAAGTGACTGCTATGAATTTTTAAGAAATCTCCGAAGATAAACAACGCCTAGCAATGTGACTAGATAGGAATGCAGTTTTTTGTAAGCAGATGAACCGATGAAAGTGACCCACCCACTGCATGTGAGCTGTGAAGAGTACTAAAGGCAGGATTCAGGAATAAAGCCAACTCATTATATTCCTGCATACAGACAGGTGAATCAAGTCAAAGAGGTAAGACCAGAGTTATGTGTGATTGATTTCATTTCTCATTTCAAGCTATAATCCAATTCAATTCTGTTAGCAGCATTGTTTCTGTTTTTAATGATGTATTGTTTGATGCAGATGATTGTCTTGCTTGTAACTTGCCTTGTTGCTCTTCTGTGTCCCACCGTCCACAGTGCGGACGCTTCAGTGGGTGAGTGTTACTGAAGTTCATATGTAGTTTTATTTTGTGTGACTCTGTTAAAGTAGGCACTAGAGGCTCTTGAAACGTTTTGATAGGAAGTTTCATTGGGTATATTTATTAATGTTGTCATTTCACCCTAAACAGAATGGTGCTATCACAAGCCAGCATGCAGTAAGTGTGATTTGTTCATATGTTTATCTATAATTTTTTTGTGTCCTAATATTCCACATCGACATAAAACTCAATATATATATACTCTATACATTTTCTGAAGTGATTTTACATTTTTTTCTGGACTCCTGATTTGTCATAGATTTTACCACCTGGCCCAAGATTGCCTCACAATATTGCAATGGATCCAAACAATCTCCCATTAATATCGTGACTGCAAGTGTTCAGGGAAATCCTAGCCTGACCTCCTTTAACTTAACTGGTTTTGATGACAACTCCACCTTCCTGTCCATCGTAAACTCTGGTGACTCTGGTAAGGATTTGCTGATATTACTTGCATTTATTTCAATGCGCATTTTACAGAATAACCTTGACTTTCTCAAGATTTGTTCATCTCTATGAAATACAGTTGCTAAAATAATTTATCAATCACTTATTCAGTGACTTCCAAATGAGGAATACCTATAACAAAACCAATCCCTATAGGAAACGGTAACACGAGAAGCATCACGTTAAAAAGGTTGCACAGAGAAGTACAAAAGTGTGAGCTGGCAAAGAGATGTAGGTGATCTAGTGTTAGACAACCAAAGGATGGAAGTTATTTGATGCCTCTTTGTGTTCCATGAGACTCACTGACTATATTGGAAACTTAGACTGGCAAAAGTAGTGGTACACAAGAGTGCAGATCAATCATATGTGTGGTATATCCTGGACATTGTATCTAAAGACATCTTTAAACAGCAGAGTTAGGGCTGCTCTGTGCCTGCATAAAATTTAATGTGAAGATGCAATGTTGCATAAAAGCCAGACTACATTAAGCCTTCTCTAACCCACCTCTGCACCTAAAGTATACAGCTGTAATTGCAGTGTAAATGCTACTCTGAGAAGCAAACAGTCTATGTAAAGATACTGAGAAAGCACTTCTGTGCAAGCTTGGCAGTGTAAATTTGGTGTAATATGTCCAATTGTCGTCACAGTGGTGGTCACCCTGGATGATGAGAAAATTAAAGTGCAAGGAGGCAACCTTCCAGGTGAATACAACACCAAACAATTCCATCTCCACTGGGGTAACGGCAGCTCCTCGTCTGGCTCCGAACACACCGTGGATGGCAAACAATACCCAATGGAGGTATGAATGATTGAATGTTCCCTGCAAATGCACTGCATTATTTCAAATATTTCCCCTCAAAGCAGCCTGAGTATGAGTAAACTCTTTAAAAGGGCTACAAAAGGGGGTTTTCACAGTGATGCAATAGAAGAAGCATTTTTGGTTTCATGAAGAACCTGAACGTTTTTTTCTTAGTTTGAATAAACCTTTTCCACTATAAAGAGCCTTATAAGGGTTCCATGGATATTAAAGGTTCTTTGTGGAACCAGTCATGCCAATAAAAACCTTTATTTTTAAGAGTTTATGTGTTCATTCACTGTATGTGTTCTTATGTGTCTCATAGCTGCACATTGTAAGTGTCCATTCAAAATACAACGGGAGTGTGTCAGCTGCTCTTGCTGCCAAAGACAGCACAGGATTGGCTGTTCTTGGTTTCTTCATTGAGGTGAGCATGACATTTATTATAATATCAAGAGGAAAACACAAACCTAAATGGTTTGGTTGTGTGCACATGCATATGTATTATTATTATTATTTTTATTTAACCAACAGGGAACCAATGAAGTGAACAAAACAAAAAGCTGGGATATCCTAACATCCTATTTGACAGAAATCCGCAATTCAGGTAAACAAATAGTTTGTAAGCCTTTCGAGTCGGCAGTTCTGTAAAGGATAGTTCACCCTAAAAATCAACTTTTTTGTGATCAAAACTGAATTCCAAAGATATTTTGAAGAATGTTTCAACTGTTTTAGTGCATACAGTAAAAGTCAGTGGTGTCGAAAACAACACTGGTCCACACTGACGTTCATTGTATGGGCAAAAACAAAGATTGAATAACGATAACAAGTTTTTCATTTTTGAGCAAACCTTTAAATGCTGGAGTGTTTGGTTAATCTCTCAACAAATCAGCGCAAAACTGAAGACAGCCAAGTAGTTTCATTACACTTTTTTGTATATTTAGGTGATCAAACCTCAGACATCATGAATCAAATCACACTGAACAGTCTGATTGAAGGTGTGGACAGGACTAAATATTACCGTTACCAAGGCTCTCTAACTACACCCAGCTGTAATGAAGCTGTGATTTGGACTGTGTTTAAAGAGCCCGTCAAAGTCAGTCACGACTTTGTAAGTAAAGGCAACTTTGTGGTACAGTAATTCATAAAAATCATATTCGTCTGCTACTGGATGACAACTCCTACATATTCTGAGTTTAAAAAAGTCACTCTGTTTACTTTATTCCTCCAAACAGATCAACCGCTTCAGCACAACTGTCCTTTTCAAAGACGCAAGCGCTTCAGTTCTAAACACCAACAACTTCAGGGGAGTTCAGCCCTTGAATGGCAGAGTCGTGACGTCACAGGTCACAGTGGCATCTGCAGCACCTTCATCATCCACTTCATCTGTTATCACAGTACTTCTCTTGTCCAGTTTGTATTGGTTGTAAAAAATGCTTTGTACAAACATTGTATAAGCTGATTTAATTTATTGCTCTTGTAAATTATGTGCACTTTATTGATTGCATTTGATCGTGGTGGTTTCTGTCATTCTTACATGGAAAAATAAGATGTAAATTAGGGGTTAATGACATGAAGGTATTCCTATTTGTACCAATTGTATTTCTATTTAAGTATATTTTTAAACACACAATTTATCATCTGTGAGTCCTTAGGATATAAATTATTATTATATATATTTTTAAATCTCAAACTCTTATGCTGCCTTCACGTGCTATTGAGAGGCGTTCACGTCTAATTTCCGATTAGGAAACTCGTATTTACGATAATTTCGATAGCACATGAAGGCAGCATTAGTTTAGAACAGCTCAGATAATACAGACTCCTTATGTTTTAAATGAACCTCCTGTTATCTGCAATTTTATTCAACAGTAGGTGATTCTATAGTATTTAAGGTGATATGTTTTAAATGTCTAAAGCCTGACAGCTATTAAAACTGAAATAATAAATCTTTGCTGTTTAATAACAAAAAGTCTCCAGTTGAGTTATGTTTATGTATATGAGGGTTCAAAAGACCAATCAAAATGCTTGCTTGTGCACACACACACACACACACACACACACACACACACACACACACACACATATATACAAAGTTTGAAAAAAGTCTCTTACTCATCAAGGCTACATCGTCACCTTGGAATTATAAGGTTCTATCTGACATTTTTGCCAAAATTGAGTTATTCACATATTCTTATTCTGTGACAACGTATTTACATTATGTGATGTTTCTTTTGTAAGCTGTGTACATTTTGGGACTTTTTAAGAAAACAAATAGGGTTCTATCTACAGAAGTCTATGGAACACAAAAACTTTGAAACTCAATATCTCAAAACTGCTCAGAATGCAGAACCTTTTCATTCCAAGGCGGCGACATTTAAATACAAATACAGCAAACACGGTACTATTATGAAATACAATTTAAAATTGCTATGTTTCTATTTGAATATATTTTAAAATGTAATTCGTTCCTGTGACGCAAAGCTGAATTTTCAGCATCATTACTCGTCTTCAGTGTCACATGATATTTCAGAAATCATTCCATTATGCTGATTTGCTGTTCAAAAACATTATTATCAAATTTGAAAACAGGTTTAGCCACTTAATGTATATAAATCATCAAAAACTCATGCAATTGACATAAATTGCTTTTGGAACTCAGGCTATTCATCAGTATGTCTGCATGTCTTCTGGGGGTGGAGACCTGCTACACCTGCTTCACCTAATCCAAACTGGCCTTAATTACCCTAAAGGGCAACACCTGCCACTATTTGTTTTTGGTGCTCACCTTAAGTTTGTTTGTTCTTTTAAAGCTTCTGAGTGTAAAGCTTTTTTAATAGTTGTTCAGGGTAGAGTTTTACAGGTTTTTTTTAATAGGTGTATATTGGCTGGGCTTTGGCTACTAACCAGAAGAGAGGAATTTGATCTAATTAAGTAAAATGGTAAGGGAGCAGTGGTATAATCTACAATGGATTTCATATTTTGAAACAAAGAACCTTATCTTTGTTTTTGCTTGTTATAAAGTTACCTATACAGTGTTTATGTGGTGTCATACAGAATGACTGTGAGGGAAAAATATATGGCTAAAATATAAATATAAAACATTAACATAAATTAGTTGAATGTCCCTTTCCCCTCTCCAAGATGAATGCTTGGTTCATGACCTGCTTTGCAGCTTTTCTGTTGACTGCGTCATGTGGTGCACCAATATCCATGGGTACGATATGATAATTTGATTTGGTTTGGTTCATTTTCCCCAACTTATGTCATTGAGTTTTTTTTAGTTACCCTAGCAAGTTACCCTAGCATGTTAATCTTGCTGTATTTGGGCTCTTCACAGCTTGGTGTTATCACATGCCATCATGTAGTAAGTCTTTTCTACTTCATAATTCCTTTCGTGGCCCTGAAAGAACAAAGGTCTCAAACATCAAAGTTAGTGAGCTTTGCTTTAAAGTGCTTGTCTGCATCTCAGGTGATGTCGCTTGGCCCATAATCGCAGAAAAAGACTGTAATGGAGCTCAACAGTCTCCAATAGACATCATAACCACCAATGTCCAGGCTAATGCTAATCTGACCTCTTTCATCTTCACTGGCTATGATGACGACACAACCTTGACTGAGATTAAAAACACTGGCACGACAAGTGAGTTAATGTAGCTCTTTGTGTTATCATTTGTGCATTTGCACAAGATGCGGCTCTGCATGTTTTGTGTCTGGTTTGTTAACTTATTGCAGCTGTACCTTCAACATGGAGTTGTCTGTTCTAATAGTGTGTTATGCAATTTGGCTTTATCTTCAGTTAAAGTTACACTAGATCACACGAAAATGCATGTGGAAGGAGGTGATCTGCCAGGCTTGTTTGCCAGTACGCAGTTTCATCTTCACTGGGGTAATGGTAGTTTCATGGCTGGATCCGAACACACTGTGGATGGAAAACAATACCCTATGGAGGTATGACAATTGCATGGACTTATTATTATTATTATTATTATATTATTTTTTTATTTATTTTTTTGTCATGTCTGTGTTTCAGCTGCACATAGTGAATGAGTTCGTACATAATGGTTCAACTATATTAGCTGCTCTTGGTTTCTTCATTGAGGTATGTTTCCTACACTTTAAAAAAACAAAAGGTTTTATTTTTTTTTTTTTTTGATTCGTCAAAGAATATATTGGTGAACAGTTTAACAGTTTTTATTAGAACTCTAATCTAAAGAACTTTTTTTTTTTTTTTTTTGATTCGTCAAAGAATATATTGGTGAACAGTTTAACAGTTTTTATTAGAACTCTAATCTAAAGAACTTTTTTTTTTTTATTTTTTTTTTTTTATATATAAATGTTTTGCCAATAAATTGAGAATTTTAGTAACTGTAAAATGTATTTTAACTCTCAGGCGACTTATGACACTGGCAAACCAGAGAGCTGGAAGACCTTAACATCTTACCTGTCAGATATCGCCAATGCAGGCAAGTTTCGGGCAGCAAAAGTGGCAGTACTTGCCATGTTTTGCGTAACCGTAAAATTTTATCTCTGGGAATTATGCCCTGATGTCAATTTTTCTCCTGAAAGACCAAAGTGGTTAAATCATTGAGCCAAGACTTTCTAGCAGTTCCTGGTTTACTAACGGCTGGGCAAGATGTCAAATCTTTTCCACAAAAGCACGTTCCTTTCACAGTAAGGAATGCCGATTCTGCCTGAAAGCAGAGATGCTACTAATTAAAATTGTACCCTATATTTCAACGTTGTTGCTTAAATGATTTGCAATTAAATTTTGGAAATGTTAAACACTCACCAGACTCCCACAGACTATTCAGCTAGTTATATCATCACTGATGCTTTCAGAGAATTGTTTACTGTAAAAACTGACCACTACGCAAATCCCTTAATTGTGCTTTTCAGACATGTACCCAACCAATCTGATCTTCATTGTTACTTGGAGAATCGCATAAGCTTGCTTTGAACAAAACTGACCAATATTTAAATCTCTTAATTGCTTCTGTGAAAAGAGCTGTAGAAATAAGACATCTTTGCTAATGCCCTTTCTGCTTCTCAGGTGATAAAGCATGCATCACTCAATATATCGCTATGGATGATCTGCTTCCTGGAGTGGATAGGACTAAATATTACCGTTATCTTGGCTCTTTGACCACACCAAACTGCAATGAAGCCGTGATTTGGACCATCTTCAAAGACCCCATCAAAGTCAGTTGGGATTTGGTAAGTTGCGTTGAGTCAACAACCTTTTGGGGAAAAGGCTGATTTTGCGGAGTTTGTAACTGCTGAAGTACTTTTGCTTTCCTACATCAGTGATTTGTTTTTAAAGTAGCAATTCCAACATCTTTAGTTCAATAGTTTCAAACCACTTTCATTTCTATTAGATTGACCTGTTCAGTACGAGTGTTTACATCAACAAGGCAACCAACTCTCCCCTAATGGTGGACACGTTCAGGGGTGTTCAACCGGTCAACGGCAGGATCGTGATGTCACAGGTGGCTGGTACCAGAGCTACTGGTCCTATTTCCCAAATGGCATCTAGTTGGAATGTTCTAGACCTCTCTTGTGATTGTCAAACCCCTGAACCTTACACAGAGTTTGGTTTAGAAACTGCATACTGGTAGAATTCGAGTGGGAGGGCTGACAATTATGCTAAGTTCTGTGTGGTTTTTTTTTTTTGTGTGTTGTACATTTGAACAGATTGTGGAAAAATAACCATTTAATAATGATATTTGTTCTGGATCTTTCAGGTATAAAGCCAGATGCTGCTCTTTAATGAAGTGTTATGGTATCCTGCGAGTTCATGTATGCATCTTAATTCCATTCCAACACTACTTAACTTACTACTTGAGCTCAGTTACTGTTTCATGGGTATGTATAAACTAATTTTGTTGGTGGGGTGTTTTTGAAATGCATGTTTTTGAAAGTCTAGATTTTACTCTAACACTTGGCATCTCTTAATACTGTTGTCAATTATGCACTTAACTTAAACAAAGCTTTTAGATTTGTACTGTAGTTAAAGGTATTGAGTCCTCATTTAAGTGTAAACCGGAGCTAAAGTGGTATTGTAACCTTGTTAGTTTGGCAATCCTAGTAATGCAAATATTTGTCTGCTTCTCAATGATTTGGCAGATGTAGATTTGACTCATTCAGTAGGGTGTTTTTCTCCTCCCGCAGCTCTGGAGTATCACTTTGGTTTAGCATTAATATGTATAGTATATGAACAAGTGGTTTGGTGTTTAAATGGTATGGTCTTATTTTTGTCTCTTCACCAATGTGTAACTGTTTGTCAAAACACTCGTGCTTTGGTTCAGCAAGTCCATAAACATTTGATGTTTTAGACATTATTTTAATGTATGTTACAAAATAAATAAAGGTCTGTCTTATTCTTAGTCAAGCAAGTGTTTCATTCATCAAGTTAAATGCTGTCTTTATCTCTTCATGCTGTGAACTGACTGTTTTGACAAGAAACAACGACTGAGCATTTTACACTTTCAGTAAAACAATGTTTAGTGTACAAATACACTACTTTGTTACTCTGCTTAAGGAGAAACTTAAACACCTGTACTTTATATAAATATGTTGACTTCTACTTGACTACATTTTTTTTTTTAAAGAGAATTTATAGATTTAGATTTACAATATATTTAGACTATTTCTCCAGCGTTTTAATTACATTTGCAACCGGAAGTAATGACAATAAAAAGGAGCAGAGTTTATTGAATAATCTTAAACCGGACTCACACTACAGGATTTTTGGCTGGATTTTGCTGTCGCGGACAGATTTCCACAGTCTGCGACAAAACCCCTGGATTGTGACCAAATTGGTGCTCATCGCGGTCGCCAAAGCTCGTTAAGTATGAGCAGGTCCGCAACGTGATCCGAACCAGTCTCGAGCTATCACAGATGCTACGATATTTTCAAACCTGTTAGATATTATCGCCACGCGATCTTGTAATGTGAGCG